GACAGCGGAGAAGAAGCTGATACCGAAGCCGGGCTCGATTATAGTGAAGGTCTTGTACTAAATGACATTGAACCTCTTGTAATCGATCTTGACGGTGATGAATCGTCGGACGAAAGTTGTAACTGGCAGCTTGCTGATGAAATAATAAATCACAATTTAGAGTACTCGCATTGTCTTGATGATGCAATGCAGAAATTGTACGATGACCCTATTCTACATATGCCACTTCGTTCGTCCTGTACGACGATGAAACACCTCCAGGATTCAGGCGGAACAACTGTGATCTTACCCGCAAAGACAGGGGGTGAAAAAGAGATAGTCTTTGGAAAAGGGGAATCATCCCCTACTCCAGATCATTTCTTGGACAGTAATTCGGACGAAGAAAAACCCGGGCGACATTTCTCTCGGTATAGTTCACAAGCAAATGGCTACATGACAAAGCAAGGCTATGACCTTTCACTCGGTGAAGGTCTTTATTTTGGTCAAGGTATTAGGGTTCCACCCCGTCCTGCCTATGTACCAAAAGGAAAACCAGATAATTATTACAGTCGTAATAGGGGTCTGGGTTATGCCTCATCATCCGATGACGATTATGGCCAACGGATAATTAACCAATTAATAGACAGGAGTGGGCATTCATCTGACACTTCAAATTGGGATTCTGATGTAAGCATTGGAGAAAAATTCAAAAGTCTCATGTCAAACACAACAGAAGAAGACGATCAGTTACTTGTTTGGGAAGATCCATGGATGCATTACATGAATATCCAATACAGTGATCGATTTGAGCAAAGAGAACCTCCTACTGAGGATAAAGTGGTTCAAGTTAATATGGGTGACGAAAATAATCCGAAGCCTATATTTATCAGCGGTGATCTCCCGCCAGATGAAAAAAGAGGAATTAATTGCCCTCGTTAAAGAGTATATCGATGTTTTCGCATGGAACTACAAAGATATGCTAGGACTCAACCCAAATGTAGCAATGCATACCCTTAACATAAAATTGGATGCTAAACCTGTCAAGCAACAACAAAGAC